CTTTCCCTCTTTGGCGCCAGGTTGGTTAGTGGTGTGAAATTGCAGTTGAATCAAGAGCTGTCTCAAGCTACATCCTTGGAGCATCTTTCACAGAAAGGCTGTGACTCTCCAGTGATCCACAACCTGCACAATGTCCCATTTCCTCTCCACCCTCTGGGCTTGCTCCTTATCCTGTTCTGAGTGTTACAATAAAGACCAAATCCCCTCATTTCTGAATCTCAGCTGATGATGCTCACAGGGCATCACAAAGGTGAGAGGCACTGAGAGCCAGAACTAGCAATTTTTTTTTTTTCTTTGAATGTGTGTGTGGCTGGTAAGGCAAAAGAAACAGCTGTTTTCTGTGGAGAACAAGGAAGATCTAGGTCTATTTGTAATCAATGCTGTCTGCATCTCTCTCAGGAAAAGTAAGGTCTGATGTCCTTTGGGAAGCATTTGCAAGGCCTTTTCTCAACAAACCTTCTCTCACCACAGACAGATGCCATCTGTCTTGCAGCTGGGAGCTAATGGATTCTGCACTGCCAATTTCACAGCAGTGAGCAACGCTGTGATAGAGGAGGCAAGAGGGATTTCCTACAATAAAACTATTTAAAACAGAGCAAAGGCCCACGCTGAAACTGCCATGAGGAGCAAAGGAGATGGCAGCACTGAGGGCTGATGGTCCAAGCTGGCAGGGATTTCACAGCTCAGCGTGCCTTGTGTGTCTCCAGCACCAGGATTTCAGATTTTGGGAGAGCTGTCTCACCCAATTCCTGAGCCAGGGTGGGCTGGGGCTCACAAACAGGCTGTTGAGCTGGAGACCGTGATATCAACTTTTTTCATATTAAATATTCAATGTCATAGGATAGTTTAAGATGTGCTAAACCACCCATAAGTCCACCACAGGGTTTTGTAGTGTGTCAAGAGGAGCTCTCTGCTCCCTTAACGTGCCCTGTGCTGCTGAAAACCTGACCCAACAACGACACCTCTGCAAAGCAACAACACAAGAGTCTTCAGGTCTATTACATTCTGCCAACTTTCTAAGCAACTTCAGGACTTTCTGATTAAATTTACATAAAATGCATCCTTCCCTCTTACTCCCTGTTACACACATCAGGTTATTTCCAGTGTTCCTGTGGCTGAGATCACCAGCACTCAGACACGGGAGCCCATGCTGTGCCTGCAGCATGCAATCAAGGCAGCTTGTGAGAGAGAGCACCAAGATCCTGCCTTGGTCATCCTCAGGGGATTTTCATGCTGCTATAATGAGAATGAACAAGTTGTTTATCATAAGAGATCTAACAGGAAAATAATAAAATTTTCAGTTTTATGTTTAATAAAGGCAAGCTGGAAAAATGAGGGTCTATGAAGTAGAGGATGGGAGGCTCTAAGAGCTCTGCAGAAGTCCTGGAGATGAGCTGAAAGCCTGGAGCCCTCACAAAGGAGAACACATTTGCAGTGGCTGACAGAGGAGCCCATTATCTAAGCATGTCAAAGATGACCAAAGGCCAGCTCTGCACAAGGACTGTTTTTAAAAATTAATTATTTTCATGTAGTCCATTGAGATGGACCAAGACTTGCCTTCAAAACTGAGTCAAGATTCCCATTAGAAGCAGCTGGAGACTGGCTTGTGGATCCAAAACTGAGATTCTTTTTGAAGTTCAAAAGAGGATGAAATACAAGATAAGCTAATAGATAATTAGATAATAGATAATTAAGAATTAGCTACGCATGTAGTTAAAAAGGATGAGTCAGTGAGAAAATAGACAGAGCTCAGCAAGGGTGCAACTATTTAATATATTATCTTAGCTGATCAGTGTGCCTGCATGAGTCATTTGCTTGGAGAAGGAGGGGGATTTCATATTGTTTTTGTATTTTTAATAGGCATTTTTATGGACTTCAGTTATAATAATGAGAGTACCTGACAATTAGTAATGAAATTAGCCTCACAACAGTGAAATATTTCACAGCATGCACAATATTATTCCTAGTACAAAGGTGGAAGTGAAGCAGAAGGAAATTAAACTCAAGATTTTCATAAATGTTTCCAAAATAAATAAGCATATATCAATAAATTTTGATAACTGTTTTCTCAGCTCAAAGACAAAGGCAGAATTTACAAAACATTTTTGTAGACTAACAAATTTTTTTAGGCTTATAAATGTCAGATGTTAATTTAAACTCTTCAAAGAGCAAGTAAATCTTTTCAGCAGCCAAAATTAATTAGAAATTCCTATTATTATTTTTTCAGCTATTATTTTTCTGAAACACATTTCCTAGTTAGTGTGGTTGATGTATATGAGCAGACACAGATATTCCACAGAAAGAAAAAACCCTGTAATTAACAGAAGGGATTTTTTGGCAGGGATAATGTTCCTTTTTTCTTTTTTTCTCTAAAAACTTTTTCATTTAACGTATTTTATCAGAATGAAATGGTTTAATGAGCAGAGAATTACAGTTGATCCCAGCTGAACCAGACAGGGCTGCCTTTCGAGGTATGTGGCTCCCATCAAGCTGCATTCACCTTTGCTATGATTTAAACTTCATTCAGGCACAGCCTTGCTAAAAATACTGACAAGTAACTAATCAACTTCCATAAAATGGAATTTTTACCTTCACAATAGGAAGCAGGAGTAGGAGGGAACCTGAAAGATTTGCCTATGCATTTCAAATTAGTCTGACCTATAAAAACGCAAACAGCAAGTGGTTCTATGAAAATGTACTTCTGGTAGGGCTTTTGGGATTTTTTAGTGATGAGATTTTTCATGCCATCCCTTCCTCTCCTTGGAGGAAGCCAGAACCAAAGACAGCACTGTGGAGGGACTGGTTTTCATTGGTTATACCTACAAAATGCAAGCTCAGGCTGGTCCTTCTGGACCAAAAAGAGTTCAGTGTCCAAGAACCAGTGGTAGGTTTGAATGCTTTATATAAAACAGCAGAGAAAATGGTGACAGACGTGCTTCTGTACAAATGAGAGCTGAGCTGCAACTTCACATGTGCACTTCTGGTTCCAGTTTGTGAGCAGATGGACACAAAAATATTCAGTGCCCAGTGTGCAAAAGCATGGGAAATCAGATCAAAACTCTCACCTAGATCTAGGAGACAGCAAAACGCTCCAGGGCAATCTGAAGATTATGTGGATGGAAATAATCAGATAGTGCTGGTCTTTGAAGATGTTGATTTGTCCTATTCTGGATAATTAAAGAGCAAAGTCTAACAGAGGGAGCTGTAACTCCTGATAGGAATCACCCAAGCTTCACATTCAGGGCTGGCAAAAGGGCCAGATGCTGCAGAGGAGCAGAAACTCAACCCAAGCCTGAAACATCAGGGGTCTCACGCTTAATCAAGTTGCACTCTTTGTATGATCTTCCCTGTCATTATGATGCTTTCTGTATGTCAGGTGAAGAGGAAAACAGCTCTTTGTAAGCCAGTTTGTTTTTTTTTAATTTCTCACCCCATTTTTACTTCATTTTCAGTGTTTCCTCTAGCATCTGTATTTGAAAACTGCAATGGAATATATTACTGAAAATCTGGGAGTTCTGTATTTCCATAAGCCAGGTTATCTTTCCAAGGTTACTGGTGGTCTAAGTGATGAATATAAATTCTTCAGTACCTATATAAAATTTATTATTTGTCATTTCCATTAATATTAGAATTTTGCATAGTCGAGTCCTTCTGTTTCATCTCCAGGCTGTAGGGTAAAAAGTGCCACAGAGATTTCAGTCCTTATAAATCAACAAATTTGCCATGGTAAGCTGGTGCCAAGTTGTCCTCTTGCTGTCTACTCAAAACTCAAAAGAAATCGGTAGGGAATGGAAGAGAGCACAAGTTCATTTTGCAAGTACTCCCCTTTATTTTTTCACAGGAATTCAAGATGTAATCTAAATTATTAATTTAGAAAGGCATTTTTGACACATCAGGTTATTTTCCTCTTCAGACATTTCTTCAGCTCAGTAGGACAGCACATTAATAGGTCACTCTGTACCCTGCACTGCTGACCACACAAAGACTCTCTGGCTTCCCTCCCTGGTTTTCCAGGACAGACATAAGAATATTTGCCACTTGGTACCTCTTAGTCCTTATTGTACTCCCTAATTGCACAGAGAAATGACTTCAACAATTCAAGTTTATCCAATCCCTGGTTGAACTGGGAACATGCCCCTTCATCCCAGACAGAGAAACGGGTAATGATGCAACTCATGTGAATCCAGGCACTGCTTCAAAAGGACTAAATGAACTTCCTGAGAAGGGATGCCAATGACAAACCACTGCTACTTGAAATAACTTTTGAATTTTTATATTGTTGCCATTTTCTTCCAAGGGAAGAGCTAGCTGCAAATGTCTGCCAAGGAGTTTTACTTATTTTTTTTTCTTTTTACAGCTAATCAATTGACTGCTCCAAAAACCCAAAACCAGCACCCACAAGAGGAACAGCAACACGTGTTTGTATTTCGCTAACACTCATCAACAGCAACAATAAATCAACCAAATGTCTCTGTAAAAACACTCCTTTTCCCTTCCTTTTCTTTTCCTGTCATCCCGCAATCATCACAGAAAACCACATGGGTAAACTTGATCTCAGAGATTATCCTTGTGAAGAAAGAAAGTAGCAACACAGGGGAGGCTGGCGGATCCATCTGCAGCGGCGGCAGGCAGCCAACCTCCCCCGGGCGCCGCGCATCTGCAGCGGGATGGGAGGGATGGCGAGGGAAGGATGCAGCACCCTTGTTGCTGGGTGCCACCCAGCCCAGCTTTTACACCTGCAGCAGCTCTCTGGATGAGAGCGTGGGCACAGTGCCATGCTGGCAGCAGTGCCAGCGTCTCAGGTGGGACTGGCTGGAAGGAGGCGATTAGGCTGCCGTCAGCTGGGGAGGGAAACTGGGGTGAGGAGCTTTGGAGCAGCATGGAAAAGGCTGCAGGAGGGAGGGAGAGCAGAGAGCCTGTGCTTTGAGCCAGGCTTCCCACACTTCACAAGATCACCATCACTGTGAGCACTATGATCAGTATTTTGTTGTTGAACTCACCCGGACCAGCTGCTGCGGGAAGGGCCCGCGCGAGTTCTCGGGCACGTTGATGGGAGGGATGACCCAGTCCCGCTTCTGCCGCCGCAGCCCGTTGGCACTCTGGTGCTGCCTCCAGGGCAGCAGCGTGTCACTCTGCTGCTGCACCAGCTCCCCGGGCAGCGCCTTCCTTCCTTTGGGCTGTGTGGGGAACAAGAAAGAACAGACAGTTAGCTCCTTCCTCGCTCCTTAGGACCTGTCCAACAGCGCCTTCTCCCTTTGGGCTGTGTGGGGAACAAGAAAGCACAGACAGTTAGCTCCTTCCTTGCTCCTTAGGATCTGCCCAACAGCGCCTTCTCCCTTTGGGCTTTTGGGGAACAAGAAAGCACAGACAGTTAGCTCCTTCCTCGCTCCTTAGGACCTGTCCAACAGCGCCTTCCTCCCTTTGGGCTTTTGGGGAACAAGACAGCACAGACAGTTAGCTCCTTCCTCACTCCTTAGGACCTGTCCAACAGCACTTTCCTCCCTTTGGGCTTTTGGGCAACAAGAAAGCACAGACAGTTAGGTCCTTCCTTGCTCCTTAGGACCTGTCCAACAGCCACATGGGACAAAGACACAGCGTGTTTAATGGCAGCTCTGCTGCCGTTTCCTTTTCATAGAAACACAGAATCAGAGAATCAGCTAGCTTGGAAAAGACCTTGCAGATCATCAAGTCAAAGCTACGACCTAACACCACCTCATCAACTAAAACATTCACAAATATATGGAGCTGCCACTCCCAAGTCAAGACGCGTCCCAGATGTATTGTCTTCATTACACCAGCTGCAAGGAGATGCAGCAGAGAATTGGAGTAATGAAGTTGCTAAAAATTTCCCATAAGTGCAATCTATCAGAACACAAAGAATGGGAGAGGATTCCTTTACAGTCCATGTCATGGGTCCAGCTTTATAATCTGGTATCAAGCATGAGCAGGGCTACAAAAACCTGCAGGCTGTGGCTCTGCAAAAATATTCTGCCACACAAACCCAACCCCAGCCAGAGGGAGAGTCAGCCCCTTGGCTGCAAAGGTGCATTAGTTCAGATTTTTAGTGCTTCATAACAAATGATCTTTATATGAGAGCTGGGTTTTGAACACAAATCTCAAAATACACACCCCATGCTGGCTGGGAAGTGTAATACATCTCAGGCACAATAAATTTTCATTATTTGGTGTGACTTTGAGTCTTTCTTTGTGATTTTTTAACTATGGATTCCCTGAATGGAATACTTTGGTGTTGGAAATGTTACAGTGCTATGAATAAAATGAAAATGGTGGGACCATGGTTTTGACTTAGACAGACTGGCTCACTATTAGAAAATGTATGCCTTATAGAATGGATGAATCAAAGAAATGTAGATTTGGGAAGGCTCTTCAGAGGTTATGCAGTCCCAATACTTCAACACTCTGTGGTCTTCTAGGATTCCAGCAATTACTTCTGAAAGTCTGCAGAAAAGATAACTAGCAAGGGCTTTTGTTACCATATGGTGACCTGCACTCCCACCAGAAAATGTTTAAACTTTCATAAATCACAAAGACTGCAAGTCACATTCTTTTCATCTGAGGTAAGATCCAGTGGGAATACTGTTCTCAGAACGTTACAATTTTCAGCTATTTTTCTCCAAAAAAACCCCAAAAACCCACTCATCCCAAACCCAATGCCCCAACACACAAGAGCAATGCAGGAAGTTATCAAAGCATTTTCTCTGGCTCCTGCCATTTTAAGCCACATTCACTTTTTGTCTTACTCCAAACATAAAAACCCAAACACCCTCCAAGCAGTTATCTGTAGGCACTGATTTCAGTGGGAATCATTGCTTCAGGCCTTCTAGTTTGATGTAAATCCATCTATTAGCACTTTTCAATTCCTGACTGGGAGGTAAAGAAACAGGCAGCCACCTCCAGACTGCACAGTATATGAAAACTAAAGAGTAAATGAAAGTTAAACTGAGATGTGGCTCCAGAGCTGTGTGGACCTTCTCCAGGAAGGCTGGAGACACTGAGAGCTGGGCACAGCAGCAAGGAGCCCATTCTCACAGCCTGCTCATGGCTCTGATCTCTGCTACCTCTGGAGGGCAGACATCCCCTGGCTGCAAGGATTGGAAGCATTTGCGCCAAAATGCAGCTATTTTTACTGCAAAACTTAAAAACAAGCCTGTTCCAGAGCTGAATTTTCACAGAACAGACAAATATGGTCCTTTCAGTCACACACGGAGGCACGTTCCTCAGGTCCTGTCTCACACTCACCATGTGGGTTGTGTTCACCTAAGTGCTGTTTCCACACTTCCAAAAAAATCACAGCACCATGTTCAATATTTAGATGCTGCTCTTAGAATGCTTACTGAAGTGGGCAATAAACAAAGAAACAGAATTGTGGTGTGGCAGTGGGAGACTTTCTTGGGATAGTCGGGATAGTGGCAGGCACTGCTGACCCCTTCCTTCCTATGGGATCTAATGCTATAGCCAAAAGAGGTTTCATTTAAAAATTATTTTATTGCCAGAAAGGTATCTTTTCTGAACACTGATGAAATCAATCTTATCTAAAGAAGACACCCAGAAATGCATGACAGCATGAAATAGGACTATGAGACATGAGCCACAGAATAGTGGATATCCCCAAATTTTTTTTAATTGGCTTGTGATTCCCAAATGGGAATCCTTTGAGAGCAGGTATTTGGATCAGTTTATATAATTGGCAAATGAGCATGGGGACAGATTATGAAAGGATGGTCAAATAATTTGTGCTCTTTTGAGTTTACACAGTGGAATGAGTCTGAACTAAAGACAGACTTGAGAATTAACACGAGTCCCAGAGCTCCCTGTATACTGAAATAATTAGTGTCAGCTCAGCAAGGCAATACCAGCCTTTTTAGTCTGTATGAAATACTTGCTGGCAGGTGACTAGACAGTGACTAGCTTGCTTGTCACTCTTGATGATGTTTTCCTATATTAGAATAAATCATCAACATGACTCTGAATTTGATATGTAGAATTTCAAAAGCATCTTGCAACAAGAAATTTTTTTCTTTTTTTAAAACAACAGCTCTTTTTTATCTTCATTTGTTGACAATGCATTCTCTTGACCTTAATTTCTCTGGTGTTGTTTAAATATGTTGTACATGTTTTCTGCTGCTTAAAAGCTGTGAGACAAATGCAGTAACAAAGTCTGGTGAGTATAAATGCCAGAACTATTCAGATCTCTGACTGAAACATCCAGAACATATCTGGAATAACAGCATTGTTGTATTGTGAGCCCCAGAAAACTCTCCAGTGTTTTTGAGTTTGTAAGAATCTAAAGTTCAACTCAAAAGCAGAATACGACACCAAATTAAATGAATTCTAAAATACAGCTTCCAATTCTAGTTTTGCTGAGGAGCAGTTTTTACTGAGATGACAAGTGCTCATTTTCTCATGGCCTCGCTGGCCACATGCTTAACAGAATCTCAGAAACATTTTCAAAAGATAAAATATTCCTCCACCTTTTGTAGTGCCACCAGAACACACAAACTGTCCATAGGGTCCTTCACAAAATCAAGTTAAGCACCTCTAGCGCTGCTGCTTTGGGGTGGTTTTCCTCCCATTGTTTTTGTGAGTCTCTTCTACATGTCACAAAAATGCTGGTGTACAGCACCAGGCAATCCATGGAACACGTGCCCAGGGGAAAGTGAAATCCACTCTCCATTCCAAAAATGACACGGTGACATTTATAACTCGTTACAACAGGATCAAACTCTAAACATGGAACGTGTGAGCATGGGCTTTGGTAATACAAAGATAATTACAGGAGGATATAAAATAGTCAGATAATTCAGTAATTATGCCTGTCCATCACTTTAGGATACTGATAAGCTAGAGAAATACGGCTGAGCCAAAACAGATGAAAACCTTCAACATCAAGGGGAAAAAGTAATTACAAAGTGGGGGATGAAGAGAAACAACAGGAGAGGAGCCCATGCTGGGATGTAAACTTGTCAGGAGAGTTTGGATTCAGGAGGATCTGATGCCTCAGTATTTGTATTGGGGCAGAATCGTTCAGAGCTTGCTGGTGAAGCTGCTCAGTCCCGTGCTGGCTGTATGATATAAAGCAAGAGTGTGAGCTGGTGTGCATGAGTGTGCAAGAGTGTGAGCAGGTGTGCAAGAGTGTGAGTAGTGTGCGAGATGGCAGATGAAGCTTTCAGAAAGCAATGCGAGGTTGGAGGAGATGCGGTCACAATCACAATCCCAATTTTTCACAATCTATAAGGATTGTGAAAAGAACTTTCCTCTCCCAGACTACTTTACAGAAAGTGTAAGGGTATCTTGGAGTCCATGTCAGCAGCTCCAGTGGAATCTCCCAGGAGTCCTTTCCAGTCCCTTTTCAGTCTAGAATTGCCTTTAAGGATGGTGAACACAACCTGCTGCGTTGGGAAGAGGACATGGAGCTAAATCCCAAAGGGACTGTCAGACTTCAGAACCCAACACCTTCAGGACACCTCACTCCAAACTACTGAGGCTGCAGGGTGCTCCAGCTAATTCCATTTACACCACAGTGCTGAGAGCTCAGGGACATTCCCTGTGTGCACCTGGCACTGGGAATAATGGACAAGTTGGAAAAGCCATTTAGCGAGTATAATCTCCTGTCAGTGCTGGTCTGTGGCTCGCCAGCCTTTCACTTACTGCGAGACTCAGACTAAACCCAACCTCTGCTCGTGAAAGAAGTCAAGAAATAATCCCCTGACAGAACAAGACACGTGGGACGCCAGCAGCCCCTCCAGCCCTGTCCTGCCCGTGACAAGAAGGCCACGAGGCACTGACTTTTCACTAGCCCACAAAGAGAAGCAGCGAGTGTGAAGGAACACCAGCTCCCACCTTCCGCTACACTTAGCAGTAGCCGGCCTCGCCAGCTGGCTTGTCTCCCCTCCCAGCCAACCTGCCTTTGATATCCGTCAGCCTCTGGCTACGGAGACATCTGGAAGTTATTATCCAGCAGAGCGTATCACAAACCCATTTACATAATATAATATCATATTTTGTGTTCCTGCTTAGCTGAACATTTTGGATCGCTCCAATGTTTGGGTAAATAAGCCGCCATTCCCTGCATATAAATAACAAGTCTTAGGGTGCGTTTGTTGGAGATTAATAATTTCATAGGGCTCAACCCGAAAAATGAAATGTTTCAGCACTA